GTAAAGGAAAGGGTCTACATCCTTAAACTCTTATCTAGGGCACTTTCCAGAGAATCGCTCTTCCTCCTTCCGCTACTATTTTAAACTTTTAAAACTCTTAGCATAGTGTTTAACATTGTTCAATTACTATGTACAGACACCGAAAAGGCTCAGCTTCTTACTAACCCTTCAGAGAGGAAGTAGAGTATAATAATTATAAGCGTTATAAGCAGAGGCCGCTCGGATTTCAAACCCCGGGTCTATCCCTTATAGCTGTGACTGTCCTGTTGTGGGAATTAAACGAGGTAAACCCAGACAGTTGGCACGGAGGGGAGGATGGGGGAAATGGGGCGCTGACAACGACGAGTTCAATGAGAAAATGTTCTGAAACTGATGGTGGTGATGATTGCACAACTCTTCCTAATGACTGAACGATCAAATAATACATGTGAAGTATATGTGAGAAGAACTTTTTGAAAAAATTCAAAGAGAAAATGTCAAAGTACTGAAACAATTACCAGCATGTGGCAGTCACTAATACTGTTTTCTATCCATCTATCAAAGCTAAGACTAGAAGGGGGAAAAAAACCTGACAGTCTATAGCACATTAAGAAATTAAGCCAAACATTGCTGCAAGTATACATCATGTTTTTTCCATCTACTGGGGCACAGAATTACAGAAATTTGATTTCAATCACAGAGCAGGGGGGTGGGGGGAGGAGATCCAAGAGAAGATCCAACCTAGACTCCCTCCACCGTTCTCACTGGCAGGGATGCCAGGCCAGGTGTGCACCCTGGGAACATCAGCCACAAGCCCTGGAAAACCCCAGGTGTGCAGACGAAGACAGAGCTGGTGTAAATGCATTCATGAGCGGCACTCACCTACTGTTGAGGCCAGTCATTAGCCGTTGGTTTTCTCTCATACATGTCAGAATTCATGACACACACGGTATCAGATCCCCACTAACGCCATGGAGCCCAGACCAGGGGTCAACAGGAAAGGGCAGTACACTGGGTTTAAGGTCCCAGCTAAGAATGACCCTTCTACATTTCAAATTCAATATGCAATCGAGACTGTGGACGACTCACAAAGCCCAAAGTATTTACTCTCCTGGTCCTTTCCAAAGAAGTATGCCACACCCTTGCCCGAGAAGAGCCCTCCCCAACCCTCATACCTGTCCTGTTGAGCCTTGCCATGTTCATCATTGCCTCTTGGTATGCCAACTCCACATCTTCTTGGGTAACCACTAGTTTAATTTTGTTCCATTTCTCAGGCTAATAATAGAAACATAAGTGAGGGGAGAGAAATTGATTAATTTTCACTTCTTGCCATGGACAAAAAGCCTATTCTTTCCTAACTCTTCTTTTTTGGGGGTCTAGTTTTCAAAAAATGTCCCCCTTGTGACTATTACGTGTCCATCGGACTATCATAAGTATAGTGATAGTCCCCGCCCCCGCCCCGTCTGTCATCGAAGACTAGAGTTTGAGAGACGAAACCCTGCACAGGGAAGCATCGCTGCCGTGGGCAGGGAGCAACCGGCGTGGGCACGGCGGACGAGGTGTTAAGCCACAGTGCTGACTGCCATCAGCTCTATGAATCTCTTCTACAAAACGGATGGCACTGCCATTCTTATTGCCGATCTACCTGACTCTGGAATGACATCACCTTGCCGGCCAAGCAGATGCGGAAACCAACCCGACTGTGTGCTCGCTGAGGTGGGTCTTGGGTGACCACCAAGGTCACCTTCCCGACTCCCTGTGTGGCTGTCAAACAAAGCCCATTTACCCTCACAGTGCAGGCCACATGGAACAAGACTTCAGGCACGGCAGGCTCTCCGTGCAAGTTGCAAAATCAGATGCTACGATGCCATCACCAGCCCTCCTTCATTCATTATTGCTTTCATGAACCCACCTGCTGACACTGGGTCCAGGTAGACTCCTGTGGGATCCAACAGGACACAGGAAAACTGCCCATGATGTTCCCTAGGCTGGCATGTGACGGGAGCCAGGTCTTATCTACTGCTGAGCAACTACGGGGTTTGAACCCCAACCTTTTCAGTTACCAGCCAAGCACTCAAATCATGGGGCTACCAAGGCTAACATGTAATAACTAGGCATTCTTGCAAAACAATTCTTGCAAAACTACTTAGGTGCCTTTCCCTCTTGTCAGCATTTGACCTCTCCCCCAGAGATAGCAACTCTTCTGAATCTTGTCCTTCTCAATCCTTTGCCTTAAATTAACAAATAGCATTCTCACAAATATCGATTCATCAACAACATACTCCCGGAATTAATTCCTTCGCTAATTCTAAGCATCAGACACAAAAGTCAAGAAACATGAAGCCAGATTAAAACCGTGAAAAGGCAGGGCACAGACGGGAATGGAAGGGCAGAACCCCAACCGTGCTGTCGTTGGTAGCCCCTTGTCTAGCCTGCCTCCAGCTTCCTTGCTAAACCCTGCAGGCCTGGGTGGTTGTACCCAGAGCAACTGGGGATCATTTCTCAGCAGCGGCTGTCCAACCTGATTTACAGGTGTGAATGCTTGATGCAAACACTTCCCCATCACCACTGGGGGAGCGGAGAAAAATGTGAAGAACGTGGGCCCTCCGTCAGAGAATGTCCCTCCCCTATGAGGCAATGGTACAGCTGGAAGATGAACGATATAAAAGACGTGCTCTTCCTTTGCAACCATTTCTCACTCGAGATCACAGTTGCAGAAATGAAAAGTACAGGATGACTGAGGACAACACAATCTTCAAAACGTGCGAGTTACTGCAGCGCTGGAGGAGGGGGGGGCTGTCTCCACAGTCTCTACATTCCCCACGTGAGAATGACACTGGAGACATCACGTTGTGGGAAACAGAGAACCAGGAAGAGAGTGTCTGAGGACAAGTTCTTTATTCTAGTGTTAAAGAAACCTGGAGGCCGGGATTCTGGGCAGAGGGAGGACTTCCCACTTGTGAGTGAGAAAATTACCACACAAAACAACTCCTTCCTCCAACCAGCCAAAACCCCAAACAAACAAAATCCCACCTGCTGGAAATAAGTTGTCAACACCCTGCGCTTCACTGATACCCAGACCACCACTTCTCTCTGTTTACTCGTGGTGCTGTTTCAAGTGTGAAAAATAAAGCAGCAAATCGACAAACCCAACCTGCCCCCACCCCAAATTCTCTATTTAAAATCTTTAAGACTCCAGGCTGCGACATACTTAAGTCATGCATTCAGTACATGAAGCTTTCATTCAATAAAGGAAGACAGGCGACTGATAGGATTGGGCTTGGCCGGTACTAAATTTCTCTGCAGTAGAACTACAGGACCCAAGTTCTGAAAAGACGAATGGCAGAGAATGAGATGTTCCGAATCTGAAACACGGTCTCACAGCCTCGGGAAAGACGCGCTTTATGGAGCGGGGACCTCCCGTCAGGGGGAGACGAGCACGCGTGGTCTACAGAGGGAGACGCAAGACGTCTGACTCCCTCCCTGCTCCAAATCCTCTGACAAAAATCACTCATGGTCCCAGAGAGGCACCGCGTAGCCCCGCCCTCCGTAAGTGACAGAAAGTGATTCACTTACAATATCCAGCCACTGGTGCACCGCGACCGCCACCTGCGTCCCCAGGGGCTTCGTCAACACAAGCACATCTCCGGGCACGGCATTATCCGGCCTGAAGAAAGAAGAAGGAGAGTCTCTAGTCAAATAAACCAAAGAAACGTTCATTAAATAGGCGAGAAATTCTGTTAAACACACATCTGTACAAGCATTTACTGAAATTTAAGCCAATCACCACCACCACGGCGCAATTAGCTACCTCGAGAACAGAAAACACCATTTTCCAAAAACCAGCCCTTATGAAATCAGACATGTCGTTCACAACTCAACTCTGAACTAACCGTACCGTAAAAGCCGAAATGTTCTTATACTTTACTGCTGGTGTGCAACCTATGAATTCACACAACGTGATCCACAAGCCAAGTGTGAGAAATTACTGGGCTCATTTGGAGTTTCTGGTTGTTGTTTTTAAAAAATAAAATACAATCACATATATGGGCTCATTCGTTCTTTACGAGGCCAACAGTAAAAATAGTCACTCAAGGTTGATGCTAGATCCGGAAGCAAAGCTGCCAGACAATGGCTATAAATGTTGTACTGACTGACAAAAAGACAGGCAAGGGATATGTCCGTATGAAAATATGCTCAACCTCACTCAGGAACAGAAATGCAAATGAAAAGCACCAGGTTGGCAAAGAACCACCATGGCACCTGGGTTTTTGTGACGTGGGCCTTGCTCACCAAAACGATGACGTTGCATGAGAGATTTTAAGCTCATGAACCAAGGACTGAAGATATTCAAGGCAAACTGTCTGTCTAACGTCCATGGCCCAGGTCACCCTGGTCACAACCTGTAGCCACGCCCGGAAAACGGCAGACGTACGGAAGCCCACACTGACATGAAGAGGTCAATGATGACCTCGGCTTCAACTGTTACCGAAAGACTGGCCACCTGACTCAGAAGCCTTCTTATGCTCAGCACCAACAAGCCCCTCAGATCCAGAAGAGGAGGACGGACCATGACCCAAGAGGTTCAGACAAATGGTTTCAAAAAGGGGTCAACAGATTTGTTTCAGACAGCACTAAGGGCATAGAGCAGGTCTGCCAATCCAATGACCTGCTCCACGGTCACTTGTTTAGAGCAGTGGAAACGCGGAAGCGGCCGGCGCTTGAGCTGGGAATAGACAAGGAGAACGAGCTTCAGGGTGGAGGGGTAGTTGAGGGCAAGTTACCGGGGTGAGACAGGCGCCAACGTCGAAGGAGCCACCGGATCAAGAGTCTCGTTTAAAATGCAAACTTACAAGGGCGGCAAGAGGAAGATGTTGTTTCTGTGGGAGGGAAAACACTGGGGGGAGCACGTGTGCACTGCTGAGGGAACCGCAGATGGCGAAACCTCTAAGAAGGGCTGTCTGGAGCCGTCTGACAAAAATCACAGTGCCAACTGGCCTAACCACACTAAGGTGTGAGATCTCTTCCCAACACGTGCACACGTGCGCCGTGACTCATGTACACGCCTACTCGGTGGATGCTATTAGGGACATCAACATCATTACCCAGGCTACGCACGTCGATAGTGAAGTGGTTGAACAGACAGAGGGCCTCTGCCCTGTCGATCTTTTCACACGTTCTGACTTCTAACAGTAAGTGTTGGTGGGGAAGTGGAGAACTGAACACTCCCCGAGGCGGTCCTGCTGTCACACTGGGTGGTTATGAGTGGGAATCCACACCCCAGGCCGGCACGTCAACCACGGGCCACCGGCCAGCAGCAGCGAGAAGACAAACCAACTCACATGATGAATTCGTTGGGCTGGCAGACGGTGGTAGCGACTCCTCCCAGGACAATCCAGGGGTTTAACACTGTTTGGCCGCCCGTCACAGATGTCCCTGCTTCCTCTGCTGCATCTTTGAAACCCTGTATAATTAGGGGCATCACTTTATCCCTTTCCTAAGGTTTAAAAGGACACAAATCAAAAGTCAAATAATTCAACACCTGGGAAAGAGAGTTTATCGTCACAGGTACAAATAGGGTCATAAAAGCTTTAAGAAGTTCTGAATGTTTACAGAGGGGTGACTAAATGACAGGAGAGCCACTTTGTCAGCTGTTGGAAGATGCGCTGGTGCTACCAGGTGCATGAAGCTCAGACAACAGGGAAGCCCTAACTATAACATGGCTGGTCCCACAGTGCGGCAGCTCAGTCTGAACTCAGCTTCTGAACCCAGAATCACAAGCCCAGCTTAACAAGGGTTCACCCCCCAGCCCAGTGGCTGCCCATGTGTGTGAGGCACGCAAACACTGGTTGAGGGCTGTGGCGGTAACTTTCCAATGGGGGAGTCCTCCCTGAGCTCACTGTGCACGACAGATGCATCCCCCCCTCCCCCAGTCCCCCCAAATCCTCACCACCACGACAGCAAGGACAAGTACCTGTCAAACCCACCAGCCGGTGTTCCATCTCTGCTCCAACAACAAGCAGAGGCAGGAAGGGTGTGGCCCTGCAGCCAGGCAACTGCCCCACCACTGGCCACAGGAGAGCTGAACCAAAATGCAGGGTGGGTGCACGGGCCTCCCTCTGGATATCAAACGTGCACTATTACTATGCCCTGAGCCTGATTTAGAAGAAACGGAAGCCCCTGTTGGCTCAGCCACCCATGCGGGAGATAAGCAGGTGTAGTCTAGTGTCACTTTTGTGGGAGAAAGATAAGGCTTTCCGCGCCCACAAATGGTTCCAGTCTTGGAAGCCCACTGGGGCAGTTCCCGCTGTCCTCCAGGGTCACTCTGCGCCCGAACCGCCTCAAGGGCAGAGTCTGAGGGCGTCGTTTCGTTTACTGGACACCCCACGACACTGTGGCAAGCAGGACTCACGGGAACCAGCCCGCCCGGCTGCCTGTTTGCAGAGGGAAATCAGGTCTAAGCGTCCACTCACCCTGTCAGTCATTTTGTTACTGATCCCGAGCAGCATCAGCATGTTGTCGCACTCGGTGACCCCCATTGCGTACAGATCGCTGAGGACGTTGGCACACGCTATCCTGCCCTGGGAAGAGAGGGGTCGCGTGAGAAAGGGCAACGAGGTGGGGCGGGGGGATGTTTTCCAGGGGCAGTCCTATGCAGAGGCCTTCAAGAACTCGGGGGATTTCCTGGGAAGGGCCGCTACTACACTTGTGGTCCCTGTGTCTCGGGCAGCCCCACTACCTGCACTGTGAGGACAAGGGCTGCGTCTGTCCCTGCCCGCCGCACACACCACACGTGTATTTATTTAGGCAGGCACCATGAGTCTGAGGGAGAAGACAGGCTGCAAAAGTTTAGGAAGAGCTTGGAGAGAGAAGGTTGAATAACTGTCCTAAAGCAAACTTAAAATGCTGACTGTCTCTGATTGGTTTTAGAGAAGGTGACAAGTCTTATACACTTTGGTTGGGAAACTTTATAGCTTCCTACGAAGGCTGTAAAAAGCATAACCGTTGTGCTTGAGAAACAAACAAAAAAATAGAAGCAGAATCTATCCAGCCTTAAGTCAGACTGTTTTCTAAAGAACAAGAGAAGCATTTCCCAATAAAGCACATTTTAATAGAAGCTTTAAAATGGTATTCAACAAAATAGATTTGTAATAAAGATTAGTTATAATATTTTAATATCGCTAGTTAAGATCTTTAAAGTGTACATTTATTTTCCTTAGGCAGTAGAGGGGGGAAAACAAATTTTTCTTCTGAAATTAAGCTAGCCAAACTTCCAAGCATCCCTCTCGGTAATTATCTGATTGCTTATGAGCTCACGGTAGATCAGCAATTCGCCTCAACGGCCTTCTCTTCTTTTGAACAGTACCAAAAACCTAACCAGCAAGGCCGACAGGTGGCTTGCAACTTGGAAATGCCAGCTGCGGGTGAGGGTTGCCACACTCCCTGCCCTTCTGTCTGGGCTCCCCCACGCTCTGCGAGGTGCTGGGCTCTGGTCTTCTTGGCCCCCAGGTGAAATAACACCCGGGTGTGGCGACCCCGCCCAAACCCGAGTATTGCTCTAAGGAAGGGAACAGATGGATGTGCACAGGGAGAACCGGTTTCTAATCACCAGTTTACTGGATTCCAGCACAGCTACCTCATCACCCGAGGATGCTCCCACCCCTACACCCAGTGGTGCAGCCTGATCCCAGGACCCTGCCAGGGAGGGCACCTGGTGTCTTAGAACAAAGGGCTCTGCCAATCTTCACGGGCTCCGCCTGGCAGGGAGGTGGCAGGGTTATGGTTGGCAGACTGGCTGGCTGCCACCATTTTTGAACTCTTGAAAAAATACCTGCAGAGAATGACCCAGAGCCTGGAATTTTAATCCAATGGTTCAGTCATGTATAGGCCCAGCGGTGTACACCATAAAGAAGCTGGGGGGGTGGTGGGGGGTGGCACGGGGTGTGAGCAGACAGCCTCCTCATACTTTGTGCTGGGAGAATGTCAGGCTCCGCTCCTCTAGCCTGACACACGGGAGGGATGGAGCTCACAAGCAGTTCAAGGGAAACAAAAGGAAGAAAACCACGAAACCGCCTGTCAGCAGCCGCTCCATCAGAGCGGTACACTGCTCTCACGCACAGGTGTGTGCTGGGCTCGGCAGAAGCAGAGCCAGTCCTGGTTCTCCTAGCCTCGGTGTTACCGACTGCTGCAGTTTGCCCCGAGTCTGGGCCGATACCTCAATGTACCAAGCCTAAGTGACACAGAGCATCATTTGATACGGCAAAACCGAAACACCCCCCCACCCCCACCCCCCCCCCGTGCGAAACCCCAACTACAGACAGAAAACAAGCTTGCAGGAGGGAGAACCCTCCTGGCCACACTTACCATCATGTAAGGGTCGTCGACGATAGGGTAAATATAATCCGTGGTCTGAACCAAGGACAGACCCCCGTGCCGCAGAGGAATGACACAAGTATCCATCCCAATGCCTGCAAAGATGGAAATCACCATCATCCAAAGACGCCAAGGAGCAGCCACTCGGCGTTTCACAACCGTGCTCTGCACACGGGGACTGGCAGGACACGCTTACAGCCCTGCCTGCTGCCAAGGCTGCGCTGTTTCCTATCGAGGAGCCTGGCTAAAGTCAATGTGAAACATAACCGGCTGGAGAATAAAAACGTGCTGGTCATGAAGACTGACTTCGTGGGGGCACGCTTTTTAGACATTGGCGAAGCCGTGGGTGAGGCTATCGCGTGGGTACTGCTGTCTCGCAGCGGCCGCCAGCAGAGAAAGCACGTGGGTACTGCTGTCCCGCGGGGGCCGCCAGCAGAGCGCCTTTCAAGGGAGGAAGTGCAAGTGGGGGCTGGGCCTGGGTCCTCCGTGCAAATCTGTAGCCAGAGCAGGGCCTTGCCACTCCCTCATACGTAAGATGTTAAGTCCACAAAAGTTCTGCCGGCTCTGGGATCAATTTGTTAATTAAGTTCCCAGAGCATTTTTACAGAGGAAATCTTAAAATCCTGTTTTATTAAATCCCCAAGCCATAAAGTCTATTACTCTTCCGGATAGACTGGGGGGACCCCAAGACTATGGCCCTTAGGTCTGGAGATGAACTCACCCGCCCTGTGCGTTAAATCACCATCCACGTAGGATCAAAGGGACAACACTGGACACAGGCATGAGGGCCAGAAGGTTTAGGAAAGGAAGGAGGGACATGGGCAAGACAGGAAGGAAGTGGGCAGGGTGAGGGCACAGAGGGCAGTGCAGTGCGGGCGCTGAAACAAAACATGGATGAACTGCTGAACGTAACCTGGCGATATGCAAGATGCCACTCTGACTCACTTTTACTATGGACAAGCACTGGCCCAACGCTCACATACTCTTCTGTTCATTCATTTCCCCCCTCCAAGTCTTTGACAGAACTAGTTCAATTTATTAAAAATAATCTGTACACAGTGGGTTGAGTAGAAGTAATTCCTTTCCCCAGAAACCAGTCTTGTAGCCTACACTACTGTAGACGACTTCTTTAAAAGTGCCTACAGTGCACGTTTTACCAACTGAGATTGGCATCCCCACCCGGCAAGCTGAGCAAGTCTCTCTGAAGAGGAGGCCTTTGTGCCCACTGACCAAGGGCTTCGACTTTGCAGCCGAACGACGCCAGGGAAGGAAGATGAGCACAGCGGAGAGGTGGGCAGAGGACTCTGCCCTTCCGGGTCCCAGTGAGGCAGGAGCCTCGGAGTGGCAGCCGCTCTAGAGCGCACGGGCTGCATTCGGTCTGCGGCAGGCAACCCCGCTAGGCGTAGCTACCTCCTCCCGTCCCACAGCGCCTCCTGGTCTTAGCCCAGTATGACCAACGCCAAAAATTAATCACGCTGCATTTTAAAAAGCCACAGACACCGAGACTAGAGTCCGATTTCTTACTAAGCGAGACATCGGAAACTCGGGGTCAGACTCCCAGTTCTCATTTGTACCAGGCAAGAACACGTGCAGAAGCTCATCTCAGCGGAGTTCAAGTTCACAGGGCTCAGAAATGTCAGCCCACGGTGTCCTCCAGCGTTTAACAAGGCCAGAAAGGGCCCTTCAACTCATGTGCATTTTCCCTAAATTGATAACCCCATTCTGAGTCTCATTCTGCCCACTTTGGAAAAGCCATGACATAGTTTTCCTGAGAGAGAAAATTAAAGAAGCAGCTGCTGAAGGCTACCTTTCGAAAACAAAAAACAAAAACGCATAAACAAAACCCCACACTCACTGACATTCAGTCGACTCTCACAGCCCTCCTTTCAGGCAGGGCGAACTGGCCCTGTGGGTTTCCGAGACTACGGCTCTTTATGATAGAGCACACAGCCTCATCTTTCTCTTGTGGAGTGGCTGGTGGTTTTGAACTGTGGGCTTTGTAGTTAGCCACCTAACACATAATCACTATGCCACCAGGGTTTCAAGGTTAGCTTAAGATGTTGCCAATATAAGTAAGCTTAATTTGGATGCAATAGATTTGATTTGTGATGCACTTTATTTTAATTAGTTAACTGGCATCACAGCATCTCAGGATGACTCTAGGGCAGGAAGGTGGCCACGCAGTGCCCGCCTCTCACAACCCTGCACACCATGCCCAGCACCTGAGCAGCTGAGAGAGGCAGCTGCACCAGAGAGCACGCCCTTCGCACGAGACAAGGACCGTGTCATTAATGGTGCCTGGGATGATTTATAACGGGAATATTCTCATGTGGTGAAGAGAGTCTACTGAAATCAGGTAACACACTCCTTTATTACTCCTGCATTGCTGATGCGGCTACTAGGGAAAAACGTTTTGCTTCCACAGGGCTGGGCTATTGTTAAGTTCACAAATCCCTGACTGAGTTAAAGGGACAGAAGGTGGGGCAGTCGAGCCATGGGCCTTGGGAAACCAGCATACTCCATTAAGAGGAGGGGCAATCCAGGTAGGGGCAGGTGGGGACAGAAAAGAAAGTTACAACATGAACAGCCCAAGCTGAATTATGTCAGTGAGGCTAAAAACATGAGTTTTCTACAGAACCCTGCCGAACACACTCCATCAAAACAAACCAGCCCACATCATCACATTACCAGCAGTAATCAACACCGCCTGGCTCTTAAATACCAGGAAAGACACGGGCCACATTCTAAGACACACTTTAACATGTCTGGGTATACATCTAACAGATCACCCTTCGATTAATTAACAGTATCATACACAAAATATGATTGGAAACAGCCTATGATAAACACACTCCTGTTTCTACAGATAATATACATCCATGTACAAGTTCACAGCCCCTCCCCCGTCTGACAAGCTGGGACGGGGCTCCAAACAGCGAGTCACATGGTGGGTGGTGGGAGAGCTGGAAAGTGAGTCCAGCGGTCTGCCAAGGGCCACCTCACGCCTGAGCTTCATGAGGGGGGGGGTGGGGGGCACAGGAAAAGGACCCAGGCCAGACCCAAGCCCGGGCAAGGGAAATCCCAAATGCTCTACAGGATCTACAGGGATTAGTTCAAGATGTAAACAAAAACTGCTATTTTACCAAAAAGTTTTTAATTAGTTTATTTCTCATGGCACAGCCACCTATGTGCTTTCTCAGTATATTCCCGATTTTTTTGGATGAGCAAGCAGTCATCTTCACGGGGTCTTCCCCCAGGGCGTAGAAATCAGCTAAACAACCAGAACTGTGTGCGTGCTGCTTCCTAGTCAGATGGAGACTGGTGAGACGTCTAAGACAATGACCCTGAGCCTTCAGGGCTGGGACCGAACTCTCCCCAGTGGAACAGTCAGCCACCTAACATCAAAAGGGGAGGGCAAAGTCCAGAGGGTTAGGAAAGGAGGCAGGATGAACAGGAAACAGGGAGGAAGTGGGATGTGATGCTGCAATGAGGGCGCTGCATCGATCAGATGAATCAGAATGTATTTGAATTGTTGAATGCCAACGATGGTCTGCTCTGTAGTCTTTACTCACACAGACAGGGGGGGCTGGGGGAGGTTACACTGAACTCCTAGGGCCCTGCAGGCCTTCAGAGAGTTTATTTCCCTCCCTCCCTCCCATCCAGAGCAATTCTTGCTTTTATCTGCTTTGTGTGTTGGGGAAGAAAGGAGGCCCCTGGGCTCAGAACCAAAGCTGTAAGACAGAGCTTTATAACAAAATGAGCAAAAATAAATGTCACAAAAACCTTATACAAAAGAGCTAATCAATCACACCCTGACGAGAGACTACCCAAACTTCCAGGGTACATATCAAATGCCCAAAAGGCAGCATGATATCACTGTCTTGCAACAGGCACATAGTAAACAGGGCAGGGACAGCCAAGGCATTCTCTATCCATGACAGGAGCCCACAACTGCTTTCTTGGGGGCTGTGTTTGGGAAAGGACAAACCACTAATGACATCAGGAATTTAGTAAAGGAAAAAGACATTGCTCCAAAATCCCCACCAGGTCCTGGGGGGGTGAATTACAGGTTGGGTCCAGTCTTCTGATGTCTGCTTTCCTCTTCCGCTCCTCCCACCCCCCTGAGGAGCTTGACACTACACAGCTCCCCACAAGCTCCCACTCGGGCCAAAGCCAACTAGCACCAAACCAATGAACCGAGCTCATGGTCACTGAGTGAGATTCGCAGCCAGTCCACGGGCCAGGGTAAACTGTCTGCCCTGTGGGTTTCTAGAACTGTAACGCCTTGCAGGACTATAAAGCCTTGTTTTTCTTCCATGGAATGGGTGGTAGTCTCGAACTGCTGACCTTGTGGTCAGCAGCCCAATACATACTAACCCTCCACCACCAGGGCTGCTAAGGTATAGCACAGTGCCGAAAGCACCCAGGCCAGGAAGAGGATACAAGCATGGTAGAGATATAGTCAGAATAAAGGCACACAGGAGTTCCTCCTGAATTCAGAGGTAACCGGAAAATCCTATGGAATAAAAATGTTCTGACAGTCCATGTCTCAAACGGCACTTAATAACTTAAAAACTATCAGAGGACACATTCTTGAAGCATTTCAGGTTCTTCTGAAGACAATACAATAACACAGCAGTTATCAGTTTTGCAGTTTGAATAATAACAAAAGTTTCATAGGAGAGAAGCTTGGGTACTGCTAGCTACTTACTGACTCATGACTCATTAAGCAGACAGTAGACGACGACGGTGTACGTACCCAGCCTAGGCATCACTGCCCCCAGAAACTGTTCATCTTCTTGGAAGTGGTTCTCTTGTAAGGATTCCAGAAGTTTCTGCAAGACATCTTGGGGCACTTTGCAGCCTGTGCCCTTCAGTTCGGTGAATCTGGTTAGCCGGAAGCCTTTGTCCAATTCGTAAGTTTCCGGGTTAAAGGACTCCCGCACAGACATGGTTCTGGGGTGCACACGCCTCCCAGCTTAGCTTCTTTCCCTCCCTCTCCTAGTCCGCTGGTTTCTTCCCTGGTCCACCTAAGTGTCACCAAAACAGAAAGACATCATGACAAGAACGCCAGTACCTGCCAAGAAGCGGCTGAAGACAGTGCGTGTGACAAGGGCGGCAACCACTGATGGCAGAGCAACTCGGAACGGGGACCACACCACGGATGCCTAAGCCAGGCTGCGCTGAGGAAGCACTGTGGGCCAGCAGGCTTCCTTGACCCGGTGCCATCCTGAACACGGCCCCAGAGGTTCTTCGCACACACTAGTATGGGAACAGAGCTTCGAGTCACTTCATCGGTTAACTTGGATGCACAGTGGCTTCTAAACTAGAGCGCCTACCTAGAGCAACTTTTCTGGGACACCTTTCTGCCCTGTCTAGAAAAATAATATGCCCCCATAGAAACCGTGTGGGAAAAGACATGGATGCAAATGCACTGGCAAAGACAGTGGCTCTCAACAAGTGGGTCGAGACCCCTTTTGGGGCCGAATGACCCTTTCACAGGGGTCACACGATTCATAACGGTAGCAAAGTGACAGTGATGAAGGAGCAACAAAAATCATTTTATGGTTGGGGGGATCACCACAATATGAGGAACTGGATGAAAGGGTCGAGACATTAGGAACGTGGAGAACCAGTGGGCTAAGCCCTTCAGATTGCTAAATCTACCTGTAAAAGGTGAGGGGGGTGAGGTGAGTTTTTACTCTGAGCCACAAGTACACAACACGATCCAAAACTTCCCAGGAGACTTTACAACAGGGCAGAATTGGAGAAGTTCACTTTCTTCAAGAGAGCACTTGGAAAGTTTCTGATGTTTTAATGCAATGCTATTTCCTAGAAAGCAAGCATCCCGCCCAAAAAACCAGTGCACACACATGGCTGACAAAATAGGCTCATGAGCATGAGCTAGGAGAGGCCACGCCAAGTGGAGACGAGCGTGGATGGTACCTCGGACCAGGCTACGTGTCTGCGCTAAGCCCGTCTTAGTTTGAAGCACGTGAGGATGGAAAGTCAAACTTCCACGTGCTCCCAGTTTACAAATCTCCACAGTCACACTTTACTGGGCAATGAAATCACTGACATCCCAAGTTTTAGGGTCAGTTTTCCCTATAAAATGGATGTCTAAAAACATAGTTCCCAGTTACAGAGTTTCCGATCCCCTGGAAAGCCCCACAGCTCATTTAAAATTAAGCTCGCAAAGCTGGAGGCTGGGCAGTTTCCCAAACGCCTGGCTCAAAAACATGTTTGGGATGAGCAAGGACCTCAATGTAAAACCAACACCGGCACGGTGTGATTCTTGGAAACCAACGGGTTCCCCAAAAAGGGGTGCAGGCAAGCAGAGCGAGTTCTCTACGGAGATGAGGATTGGGAAGGCGCAAGTCTGACTAGCACTTTGACAAGGAACGGCTCTGGAACAAAACCATAATCCTTTCCAGCAAGATGCCTTCAATTCACCACCACTTCGGCCCGCCAGGGGAAAAAAATCCAACTCACAGGCATGCAGTTAGTTTCCTACCGCCAATCCCTGTCCAGGAAAAAGAAAAAAAAAAGGCGGGGAGAGGAATTTCGGTAACTTCCTTTTAAGTATAATTTGTATTTTCACTTACATTTAAAGGGGGGGGGGGTT